CCTTATAATTCAAACATCAAAAACAAATTTTGTACTAATTAAAAATTAATATAGTAGATTAAACATTTTTCAAAAGCGTAAGGCCCCCCTTGTCCTATGGTAGCTTTGTCCCTGCTTCTCAGGTATGTTTTCTAAACCTCAACATCTCTTCTTCCTTAAAAACTTCCCATCACTAAGCCTATCTTCACCCTATCATTAAGCATTTGTATCTTTTATGAATTCTAACTCTGAAACAGCACCAGTAATTAAATTTGTCAATCCATAAGGTAAACCCAATTGTTCCAACTGTTTGCAGTGCATGAGGGATTCTTTTAGGTATCCTCTTTTGGTTTTTCTCAAAAAGGTTAATTTATGTTTCATAAGTGAAATTAACAAGTGACACAATAGTAAATTTTATTTCATTAATTCTTTTTTTCTAAAACTATTTGCTGGTTATGCAGTTATGGAGTTATCATGTACTTTGGATTTGAGCATTTGAAGAACCTTAGGTAGTATTTAATTCACACCATGGAGAAGTAGCAGGCAGAAGGGAGGAAGCTTCTTGACAATGCAAAATATTATTTAGGCATGCCTGCTAGATCATATAAGAGTCTTAATTAAGTATTATGTCTTTACAAGCATATATATTCTATGCAAGTGAGTAGGATCATATGCTAGAGTATTTTTCTTGAAAATTTTGATAGAAAGAATGCTTGTAGGTGTTCATGATTAGTATCACATTCCTTGTGCCATATGGCTTTTTGTGCATAAAGAGAAGAGCCGACGTAGCTTGGCTTATGGACTCTTTGATTATAGAGAGTTTTATAAATTGGAAGCTTTGGCATGGTTGTTGTGAACTTTGTCTCTATTCAGATATTCAATTTCTGTCCATAATTTGAAATATTTACCTTCTCCTGGGGCCATCCAATGCTAAGAGGTACTGATTGATTCAAAGTTCCTCACATTCCAATATCCAAATAGAACGGGTGCATCCAGTTCTAAGAAGATTGAACTCATCAGGTATATTTTCTTAAATCTCAGCTTCTTTAAAAGTACTTCCCATCCATCACTAAGTTTATCCTCACCATCACCATATCAGTAAGCATTTGTATCTTTTTATCAATTCAGACTTCAAAGCAACACCTGAAATCAAATTTGTCAATCTATACAATAATCCCTGGATGTTTCAATTGTTTGCGCTGCAACACGAGGAATACTTTTAGGTAATCTTTTTTAAGTTTTCTGAAAATGTTAAACTCATGTTTCATAAAAGATGTCAACATTTGACTATATAACAATTTTTATTCCATTCCCTTTTTCTATACCAGCTTATGTGAGAATGATCCAATTATCCAAACATGGACCTATTGATTTCACATATTTAGAGATGATTCCAGGTTAGCACCATTTTAAATTACCAGCACATCAAATCTATTGCATTCTTCATACTCTCTCTCATCCTATCTCCATTCTATCCATTTTGCAGAACATAGACTTAAACTCAGCGTCACTTTGTAAATTGAAGCAGAAGAAGGAATTATATCATACATGACTTTAAGGTTAGATTCTTCAGAACTTATCATTTTCTCAAAACTTAGCCATCAATTGTCACTCCATAAATATTTGCGATTCATGTCACTTTTCTTTAATATATGTAATTTTTTTTTTATCAGTCATGTCTGTTATTTGGAATCTTTGATTTGAAGTTAATGAAGATAACTAAGAGTTTACATTAGTTTTCGGGATTTAGCATTTGATCATTTACATTGCAAAATATGTTCTTATAAGACAATTAATACCATTGAGCATTAGGTCTCCTAATTAACTGCTTCTACTTTCATACTTGGGGGGACTATCTATCATCAATTTTCTGTTCTTAAATATCTTTCCTTATCTTATATTTTCCACTGTAACTTTTCATGATCAGTACGTATAGTACTTTTTTTTTCCGTTAATATATTTCTTTTTTCATGTGCAGGCATGGAACCTTAAGTGGTAATAGATTATATTCTTTTCATGAGGAAGTCACTTGACAAAGCAAAAATGTATCAAGTATGCCTTCTAGATCATTTAAAAGTCTTATTTAAGCATTAGTGCTTTACATTTGAGCATATATAGTCTTTCCAACTGAGTACTATCATACATTTTGTTTGTTTTGAGAATTAATTTTGTGTATTGTAGTTGTTCACTGTTCAGTACCTCATTCATTAAGCCACAAGGTCTTCCAGAAGTAAGTTAAGGAGAATAGCAGATGCGAAGCAGCTTATGGACTTTGATGAAGGTCTGTTAGTGTAGAAGTAATTCTCCACTTAAAATTCATCTAAAATGAATATGCTTTTGTTATTTGCTCCACTTATGACTTTTACAGTTTATCATAAAATTCGTTGTCGTTTGTTTGTTAGCTTCTTCGTTGATTATTTGATATTAATTTCTGTTTCTTCAGCTCCAGCTGTAGTTGTGCACGCTTCAGTTATCAGTAGACCGTCCCTTACTTGAGTATCACAGCCGCATTTCCAATTAGCATAAACCACATTCTTTCAGAGAGATAGTTAAAGGTATGTCACTGCAAAACCTCAAGAAATGTTTTTGTTGTGGACTGTGTAGTTTGGCTTTGAGAATCATAAATAAACAATTGGTCTGATTAGTACTTTCTTGTTTTCATATATCATCTACTTAGGATGAGCAATTATGTGCTAGAGGCTCAAGATTTTGTTCTGGATGGCAACATCTTCAGTAGTAGGTAGGTGAAGTGCTCTAAATGATAGCTTTGTTTACAAATTAGTTTATGTTATCAGCTCAATAGAAAAGTTCAATCATTTGAACGCAGTTTTACCATTCGTCATGCAGGATTATCAACTTCTCTGATACATCAAGGAGCTAACTAGACTTTGCTTTTCTGCACTTTGATTATGCTATAGAGACTTACTACATGACAATGGCTGCTACATTTCAATCATCTACCATTTTGATCCCAATGGCAGTAGAATTATATGGGTTGAGTTTTGATATAAGATTTGGTGAACAAAGCTTCTACTGAAGATATGGTGAAAAAAAAATTCTAGATGTTTGTTTGTACTTTGATATTTCACACACTGAAGCATTCTCCTAATTCTGTCTGTACACTAAATCTGTTTCTTTAAACTTCTTTGATTATCCGTTTTCGTATCTAATGGTCATGCCATACCTCATGTCTAAAACACTATCTGTAATGGTG